GAAATCTTATAATTTTCTTCAACCTGGTTCGGAACTTGGCAACCAGTAAGTTGTGGTCAGAGTCAATATTTGCCCCAGGAAGCGTCTTCACATCCTTCACACTATTTCTGAATTGATGTTTCACAAGGATGTAGTCCAGCTGATGCCTCCTCCAATCCCCAGGTGCCTTCCATGTGTAAATTCTTCTCTTTGGCTTCTTGAACCAAGTGTTGGTGACAATCAGTTCATTTCTTTCACAAAAGTCAATAAGCATTTGACCCCTGTGATTCCGTCTTCCTAGTCCATGTGACCCAATAATATTCTGATAGGTGAAATTATTGGGGATCATCAGTGTGGGTTTCGACGTAACAGATCAACTACAGATCAGATCTTTTGCATTCGTCAGATATTGAAGAAAAAAAGGGAGTATGATGAGACAGTACATCAGCTATTCATAGACTTCAAGAAAGTCTATGATTCAGTTAGGAGGGAAGTATTGTACAATATTCTGATGGAGTTTGGGACACCCATGAAACTAGTTAGGTTGATTAAAATGTGTTTAAACGAAACGTATAGTAAAGTCTGTGTAGGTAAACATTTGTCTGATAAATTTCCTGTCCAGAATGGTCTAAAACAAGGAGATGCTTAATTGCCACTCCTTTTCAACTTTGCTTTAGAATATGCCATTAGGAAGGGAATACATAAGCCATGTAAAAATAAAATAAACATTCATATTTATTTGATACAAAATATAAAACATGTGATCTATGAGCATCTTTTGTACATTATTCATGTATGGGGTTGTGTGTCAAAGACCAGAATGGAAAGGCTATGGTTTCTAACCTTTTGGAGGAATCTGTTCCTTCCACCTTCTGGGCTGGAACGTAGAAGAAGTTCACTGCAGTAAAAGTCTCAAACCTTCTCAAACCTCATCACTTTTCCAAATATTCCATGCTGACAATAACAGCTGGACTGACATGCTGTGTGCTGGGAAATTATGTGCGATATTACACCTTGAAAGAATGTGGTCCATTTTGTCTGCAGTGTGGTATGTCAAAAAAGCTCTGTCACTAACAGACTGACAATTTTACGTGCGACGTGAAAGTACAGCAACAAACGGGTATTAGTTTGGGCCCCTGATATATACAACTGGGAGCTGACATCCCCTGCATTGCTGATCAAAATTAAACCAGCACTCTAATATATTTCATTTCATTTATGAATGCGTCAAAATCACTATGACTCATTCCCTCATATACCACCTTATTTTGATAGAAATTTCAAACTGTCCTCAAATTAACCATATATACCGTAAACATGCAGACAGCGTAAGTTTACCTTAGTATACGCATTCGTCACAACTGCAAGTCTTCATGCTTCCACCACACCAAACCACACCATACGCAAACATACTAAACTACGCACACAACGTACAAACCTAATTCCTTCTGTCCACATTGTAGCATCGTACTAGGCATACCAACTAGCCAACTTGGTTCACTCAATCACACTTCACCACTGTTCGTTTGATAAGAATAATAATTTCCATGACTAATCAAGAGCGAGTCATTTCATTAGCAACCAACCAATGATACGCGTCTTGATGCAGACGACACAGATTTTCGTCATCGTGCTGGAATAGGAACTCTTACGACGCTTACGACATCTACTGACGATATACACAACTTGTCAATACGAGCGAGGAATTTAATTTTCTTGTTCTTGTGACTGAATAGGTTCAGCAGCAGGAGGTGGTGATAGGAGATATCTTTAAAATGATTTTGGAATGCTTAAGAATTTTCAAATTCATTTACATATACACAACATTTGATCTAAAATTAAATGTTTATATCTGAAAGTGAAATGTATCATGATTATTGAACTGATTTAAATTACATTTTTTCTCAATTTTAAATAGGAGTGCACAAGGCATTAGACTTAGTTCTGACAGCTAAACTTTAAATTTAAGTAAGTGGTGAGAGTGTACAAAATTATGCTTTGCTTTTTGTTGACCACGATTGTTCACATTGCAGAAATTAGGAATATATACTGTCTGTAGTGTACCTGGTTATTTAATGTTTGTTGTCACAGCATGCTGAAGCCTAGGTCTACTGGTAGATCTACTGGTAAAAAGATTCTTCTTCTCGCTAAATGCAGCTTTTGCCATGGCAATCCTAGATTTAATTTCACAAGTACACCTTCCATCATCTGTTAACAAGCTACCCAAATAGTATTTAAAATATTTCACATTCTCCAGTTGTTTTTGGTCTATCTTTATTGTGACTGGGTTTGGTTGTCCCGAAATTTTCATTACTTTTGTTTTCTCCACATTCATTTCCATGCCATAGCACCTTCCAATTTCAATTAGTCTATCAATCATGCCCTGTAGCACAGTTTCTTCCTTAGCCATTAACACAAGGTCATCTGCATATTTCACAGTTTGAATAATTTGCCCTCCTACTTTGAAGTCACCGAGCCCATCCAGAGCTTCCTTGGTAAGGCATTCGCTGTACAAGTTGAACAGAATTGGTGATAAACAGCATCCTTGTCGAACTCCTCTTCCAATCTGCACACTCCCTGTCTCCCCCGTGCCCAGTCGTACTCTAACTTTCTGATCCATGTACAATTTGCTAATCAATCTTCTTTCACACCAATCGATACCTGTTTCTTTTGGGATCTGCATAAATTTGGTCCAGTGTACACGGTCAAATGCCTTCTGCCAGTCTATGAAGCAAACACACAGTTCTTCATCTATCTCCAAAGTTTGTTCCGCTATAATTCTCATCATCCCAATTGCATCCCTGGTTCCTTTTCTGCTTCTAAATCCAAACTGATCTTCTCCAAGTACCTCCTCTATTTTCCTTTCAATTCTTCTTTTAAGTACCTTTGCTATTATCTTTGCTGTATGCAAATAGCATGTTATCAATATGGGTATTAAATTATATAATAGACTGCCTTTGGAATTAAGAAAATCAGATGGACATAAAGACTTTAAATGTGGGCTGAAAGTATTTTTACTAATCATCCATTCTATACATTGTATGAGTTTCTCTTACAGGGACAGTAGTAAGCATAGCAAAACCTCTATTCAGCAATTGAAAGAGATAAATGGTTGCTTGTAGTATCGGTGATTGACATGGTCATATGTAGGACTCTTGATTTACTGTAATATTCTTAAAATTCTCTTGATAAACTCATAAGGTTGGCTTGCATTTTAATTTACATATTGTATCTAATTTGAACATGTGTGTTATATTTTAATTATAGGTTAACCATGTTAAGCGTGATTATTTATTGTTGACAAATTCTAATCCTTAAGGCATTTGGGAAAAAGGATTTCAAGAATTATGTATTTAATGATGAGACCTGTTCAAGTGTTAACTGTTGTAGCAATTATGAATGCCAAATAAAATGAATGAATGAATGAATGAAATTAGGTGGTTGATATTGTAAATTTTTTATAACAGAGTATTTACCATATTACAGTATGCTGCACACATGTTTACAATGTAGAAGGCAAGCAGTGCACCGGAATTTTGATTCTGAAGGAAGCTTGGAATGCCGAGGGTTGTATTCAGTGTTACATTGGGGGAGATGGAATTTTTAGGGTTGGCGGCATTGGGGGTGGATGGTATTAGCTTAGGATTGTATCCAGTGAGTGGTATTAATTACTTGACACATTCTAACACTGTTATGGTACAACTGAAGGTTCACCTCACTTAAATAGCGTGTGAACCTTCAGGTTCTGCTGTAAGAGTGTTACTTAACAGTCTGAATTGACAGCAGTAAAGTGTTTGAAGCAGTTGGAGGTGTAAGAAAACCACATTCTCACGCAATGTACTTAAGTTAGGATGTTCGACCATGGGAAGCCAGCTTCCTGTTTAGTGATTTGTGCCAGTTTCTGATTGCCACAAAGTGATGCATACCAATAAGTTAACAAAGAGACTGCATTTTTTCCTCATGAATCTGAGATGGCAGTGATGCATACCAATAAGTTAACAAAGAGACCTCATTATTTCCTCATGAATCTGAGATGGCAAAGACAATAACCCAAGATGTACAAGCATTGGAGCATGATTTTGCCGCCAAGTTGATATTCAGCGATGAAGCAACATTCCATTTATCTGGGAAGGTTAATCGTCACAATGTGAGATTATGGGGCACTGAAAATCCTTGTGCAATTGTACTTGAAAGAGATTCACCAAAGCTGAACGTTTTCTGTGCAATGTCACAAAGCCGTATGGGCACTTTTTCTTTTGTGAGAAAACTGTGACTGGTACATCTTACCTAGATATGTTGCAGTTATGGTTGTTTCCACAACTGGCTGCTGATTCCAGGGATTTTGTCTTCAAACAAGAAGGGGCACCCATTCATTGGAACATCAATGTTCGTCACTACCTAAACAACGAACTTCGGCATCGCTGGATTGGGCGTGTTGGTGAGAATGACGTAGCTCTGTTCACTTGGCCCCCCAGATCACCTGATCTAACGCCTTGTGACTTCTTCCTTTCGGGGTACATTAAGGATCATGAAGAATGCAGTCTTCTGGGATTTGGCACCGTGTATATGTGGTGTTAACCGACGTTTCGGAGGAACGTATCGCCCCCATCTTCAGGGTTGAAGAAAAAGTATAAGTAAATCTGCAAGCGACAACACCGTGAGACACGATAAAGCATCTTCAACCCTGAAGATGGGGGCGATACGTTCCTCCGAAACGTCGGTTAACACCACATATACACGGTGCCAAATCCCAGAAGACTGCATTCTTCATAGTCACCGCCGTGAAAGCCTCAAATCTTACATTAAGGATCATGTTTACGTACCCCCACTGCCAAGAACCAGTGGAGCTGAGGGAACGCATCGATGCTGCAGTGATGACCATTGACAGGATGATGCTACAAAATGTGTGTAACAAGCTCGACTACCGCCTGGACGTGTGACCCAAGGGCCACACATAGAACATTTGTAGTGTGAAGAAAACTTCGTGAGTTTACGGTTCTTTTTATATATCAATCATATTTGTGCGTATAATGCTTTGGAAAATATAGCGTTTTAAAAACGAATGAATCATTTATAGTAGCCCTGTACAAAACTAGATCCCTAAATAATCTTTACTTACCTACTGTCAACCTATCAAAATACAGGAAAGGTGCATATGTAGCAGGCATTCAAGCCTGTAATCATATATCTCAAGCAATAAAAATGTTGGCCTCTGATCTGTTAAACTTTAAAGCAGCAGTGAAGAGATTTTTATTTTATCACTCTTTTTACTCTATGAAGGAATACTATCAGCACAATTGGTAATACTATATAAATTATAATAGAGCTAGCTCAGTAATTATTGTAATATATTCTTAGTTCAGATATGCATATGAAGGAATATTATCAGCATAACTGGTCATAATATGTAAATTATAACAGANGCCGGGCACGACTGCCTCGGCCCTCCAGCGCTCTCACACCCGACTCACTGGGGCACAGCGCCTGGACTCGCCGGTGGTCGTGTTACGGTTCGACTCACTGGCCATCTGGCGTAGCCACTGCCTCATGGCCCCTACGACCGCGCTCAACGACTAGCCTTTTCACCAGCAGCAACCTCCGCCATTTGCCGCACAGCGATCAAGCAACCTCCAACTCACGCTGCCGCACGGCAACCAAGCAACCTCCAGCCACGGCCGCACTGCGGCCAGGCCACTCGCCTTTCACTAGCCTTTCTCCTTACCGGCGCGCGCCGCGCTACCTCACCGGTCAATCATCTTAGCAGCCACGGTCCTTTTCAGGGCCAACAAACTGTTCCGAAGAAGTGGGTTGTCATCGGAGTAATGACAAGACACACATCGTTGACAAGAGCCCCACACATGTATTGAAGAGGCTGTTACACCTCTCTAACTTGTATGAACATTTACCATTGAACTAGTTATAAATGTGTGATGCCGGAAGACACCCAATTGGTAATTTAAGTGATTATATGAAATTGTGACTATGTTTTTATAGTAAGTTATTTAACTTGTGTTTAATTGAATTTTATTTATTATTATATGTGATTTTATGATGCATTAAGCTTGCCTATCTGAAACCTGCAAAATTGACGTTAACCTACTGTTGCAAATAATGGATTTGTATATGAATTTTGAAGATCATTTTGATATGTATTTTAAGGACCATTTCCACATCCTGGTTATATATTGTATGAATCTACGGAAAATAAATAAAATGAATGAATTTCTTAAATTTCCCAAAAAAACAATTCGTGCAGAAAAATGTATGATGTACCCACACATACATACACACACATATATTTTAAACATGTTGTATGATGAACAGAATAGAAGGAAAATAAATGAAGGCTGAAACTTCTATAAACTCCAAACTGGAATGTAACATTCTATATTTTGTACTTCACTATAAACATAATACAATTATGTGGATCACTTGTACAATCAGTCTATACTATAAATTAAAAAAAAAAAAAAAAAAAAAAAAAAAAAAAAAAATCAAAAAGTTGTGCAGCTTCAAGTAAACCAACATAAGCCTGACCATGGCCAAAAGATGATTTATTCTATGACAAATGGCACAACCAACAGCTAAGCTACTGCCTTACTGTACATCCATTCCTTCAACT